GTCAAACGACGCTGCTGTAGGTCAAATCTGCAATTGCATCATGGCGGAAAGTGATTTTCATCGAGAGTTTGCGTACGAATCCAACAACTTCGTCAGTGGAAATAATATGACAATTTTGACTTCGACTGTGTTCCAACAGACTCAAATGTTTTTAATTCCGTAAATTATGGTGGTACGTAATTATTATTGTAATAAAATGTGCATATTTTTTGTGATCATTTCTGTTTCTTCATTGTGAAAATCAATGACGACGCAAATTAATTTAGTAATTTGATTTTCCCTCAAAGACGTAATCTGTCACTTGATGAATCAAAATTTTCATTTGTACTCTTTTTCAAGGGGGGTGCTCGGGTAAGCGCCCACCCCTACAAAATTGTGATTTTCTGAGTTGAGGCCCCTGGGGGCTAACGCGGTCGAGTACAGTAGTACATTTGCAGAATACCTGTAGCAACAAATTGGAATTAACATTCCTACAACATGTTACACAGCAACATCCTGAAAAGACCTCAAAAGACCTCTGTTCTACTCAGTGTTAACTGTTCTAGACTGGTGGAATAATAAATTAACAGTGAGACTTACACTAACTGTGGTGGGGTATTCTTTGGTCTTGGTCTGTCACTACTTGTCACACCCTGTGTCGATCTTTGAGGCAATACTGGAATGGGAACTAAAATACCATCCTGAAAGCAACAAATAAAAGAATTATAGAAGTTGTTAAATCTGACTTATCCAAATTATGTAAATGATTTCTATTTCCAGTTTGTTTTGTTTTCAAACCAAATACATTGGTCCAAAAAGCTATACATTTCAATGAAAACAATGGCCCAAAGAATCGTACATTTCAATGAACCTACTTTCCAAAGAGTCGTACATTTCAATGAACCTACATTGTACTTTCCAAAGAGTCGTACATTTCAATGAACCTACATTGTACTTTCCAAAGAGTCGTACATTTCAATGAACCTACTTTCCAAAGAGTCGTACATTTCAATGAACCTACTTTCCAAAGTGTCGTACATTTCAATGAACCTACTTTCCAAAGAGTCGTATATTTCAATGAACCTACTTTCCAAAGAGTCGTACATTTCAATGAACCTACTTTCCAAAGAGTCGTACATTTCAATGAACCTACTTTCCAAAGAATCGTACATTTCAATGAACCTACTTTCCAAAGAGTCGTACATTTCAATGAACCTACTTTCCAAAGAATCGTACATTTCAATGAACCTACTTTCCAAAGAGTCGTACATTTCAATGAACCTACTTTCCAAAGAATCGTACATTTCAATGAACCTACTTTCCAAAAAATCGTACATTTCAATGAACCTACTTTCCAAAGAGTCGTACATTTCAATGAACCTACTTTCCAAAGAGTCGTACATTTCAATGAACCTACTTTCCAAAGAATCATACATTTCAATGAACCTACTTTCCAAAGAGTCGTACATTTCAATGAATCTACTTTCCAAAGAGTGGTAGATTTCAATGAACACACTGGCCCAAAGAGCCATACATTTCAATGAACACACTGGCCCAATTTATTAATTTATTTCTGAAATCTCAGTCATATTCAAGTTGAAAATGACCTGGCGCTGATAATATTGATGTACATTTTAACCAACAGAACAGAGGAAGAAAAAGCAAGCATAACCATGATCTAGGTCAACACTTTAAACACACATTAAACAGGCAACTTAGCGAATTAATATAAAGCAGTCCATGATAGGCTGAGCTACAACCCCTAAGCATACAGAGACTGCTCACAACCAAAATGTCTAGATTGTATATTATTGATTTTGAATCATAATTGATTTTTCTATTATGTTACAATGTATATTTTGAGCATATTTATTTGGTCTTAAATTCACCAATTTGCCTTGGAAACAGTGTTATTGTAGTACACATGTGCTGTCATATTTTCAAACTTTTAACTACGGGACTATGATATCAAGGTAACAATGCTGAATGAATCTACCAACTATGCAATCGCTTTTCACAACTTTCTAAGCAGTTCGTCGTTGATTTTTCCGTTTGCGTGATAAACTGCTTATATATGAGACATTTTCGAGACATTCACTTAATGTTTTCGAAATTTAACTGCAGGATTGTCCTGACAATGACTTAGGTTAAATATACCTGACCAACAGTGGGTTTTTCAGACTCTGGGATTCCTCAAAAATAATCTGGAGAGGAAATTCTGTAGGACTAATTTAACATGCATCTAGGACAGTGCAATTTACACCATGTGCAGCCATAGAGGAAATTTATTGAAACCATGACACAAGTCACTGAATGGGACAAGCACTAAACACTTTTCAAACTTTTCAGTCAGTGCGAGGAAGAAAACAGAATAAGTACCTGCATTGCAGGAGGTCTGCTGCTTCCCTGACTAACTGGAGTTGGTTGCAAGAGTGATGAAGTCGAAGGTTGCGGAAACTGGGTCTCTAGTAAGGTGGTCGCTGTAGGGTTACTGCAGCTAATCAGGACGGGAGCGCCTATCTCCATTGAATGCCGCTGTGTATCCTTACTGCCTTTGTTGGCATTTGGAAACAAAGTAAACGAATGCCTCTTCTGGGAACTTTTATTCCTAATAATGCAACAAGTAAAATATGCAAAGCGTCATAATATTGTAAGCAGGTTTTATTTCATGCGAAATACATATTTTCATGAATTTTGTGTAAGTAAATTATGGCTGTTCGTTTAGTGTTTATATCATGGCTATAACAAGACAGTGGTTTGTTGATACATACCTGCTATCTTCCTCTACACTATTTGGTGCTGAACCATGACTTGCTTGGTTTGCAGGATTTATTCCAAACAACGAACATGCTGCATTCGTTCAACTACAAAAAAACACAGAATGACAGAAAGGCATCACTAACTATTAATAATAACCTACACATACACAAGTAAAATAATTTCCTTTGATATTTCTACAGAATTGATGCTACCGAACATAATATTGAAATCCCATAAGGCTATCCATAAGGTTATCATTCGTGACTGATGGATTCTGATTAATGTTTTAAAAAATGACGTTTTGTCCATTTTTGTAGTAATCAAATTAAAGATGACTATCACATGCTTCTGATTTGCCCACAATATGCCAATCATAGACTAACATTTATTCCACACATTTATTTTTCTCTTGCAGCAGAATGGAAATTTATTTCGTTAATTAATTCAAGTACTGTGGAATACCTTATTTTCGCTGGAATTAATTTTCGTTGAAAAGGCTTTTTGGGCGTTTTGTATGGAACTTATTTTCACTGATTTTTGATGAATTTAATGTAAAATATAGGAAAAAAAGTATATTCGCTGGAATTTAATTTTCACGGAATCATCCATTCAGCGAAAATAGCGAAAATGAATTCCAAGCGAAAATAAAGTATTCTACAGTAATTCAAATACATTAGTGAATCTAGGTAATTTTATTGTATTTTCATTACAGAAGCGCCGAAAACTTATGGAATCACCTGGGGAGGGTTTATTTATTTTCAAGAATATTTAATGTTGTACATGTAAGGCCCATGGCCTAGAGCACTGAAGTAAGATAAATTTATACTTTAAAAAAATGATAAGTTAAATTTACCGAAAAAGGCAAAATAACATCTGTTTTGATTTTTTTTTTAATTCTTGAAGAGAACATGAGTATTCACCACTAGCATTTGACGATGTGCCTCATTCTAAAACTATGATTCCATGTTATTACTGAAAGACTTACCTCAACATACGAGAGTGGAAATATCCCAATCTTATCACCCTTCTGTCCTTCAGCCCAATTCTCATCTACTTGTTTGATCACAGAAAATATTTCATCCTGAAAATACATAAATATGTACAGAATTCTCTGCGTTCACACACAAAAAGTCTGTGTTCAAATTAAGTCTAGTGTTCCTATATATATCAGGGTCAATGTAATCATAGTTGAAACATACAGAACTAAACAAAGATGCTGATAAATAATATTTGCTTTAAGTTAAGAGTGATTCTAACACTATATTCAAATCACATAACAGAGGCAGAGACTGTAAATTAGCATTATTATAATGTACAAAATTAAATACTATTTTCTGACAACAAACAATGTCATTTCTTAACAAGTTTGCAGGTGGAAGCAAACAGTAATGTACCCATATAACCCATCTGAGTATTATAAGAAAGTACAAATTATCCCAAAAATTGAATTAGTTAGCCCTTCGGGTACCACCATATTTTCCCGCCTGTTTTTAGGTATTTTTCTATAATTTTTTTTTAATTTTTGGACACAATGTACAATATTTTCTATTGGCAAAAATATTTTGATCAAAATGTGGAAAAAAGTTTGTGGGTTTTGTTTTGTGTATAGTGACGAAAGTAGATTTTGGTGCTTGAAACATTTTACCTGCAGAGAGATGGAGACAATGACAAATATGGTTTAGCCTTGTCAGCAACAAGAATCTGAATTCACATAGACAATTCTTTAATATTCAATTTTTCAATTTTTTTTTTCAGTTTCAGTTTTATTCAGTTGCACAAGTTGTAAAAATTGCACGAGTCCTAAGTGTTTACAAGTATCCAAAAAAATGTTTGCAGTTCATTTTGTTCAGTTATTTTAGAAAGAGATAATATTTTACCATGATTTTACTCAATGGAAAATTTACTCCCATGATGCATTAGTAGATGCAATGCTGCAGTAACGAGTCAAACATACCTTGGAGAATGAGAGGCAGTCCTTTTCATCCTGATCAGAGATATCAAAGTCAAATAAAGCTTTACATTGCGGTGGATCTTTCGGTAATGGAGTTATCACTTGGACATAATTGGACGGTAAAAATCCAATATGACCTTTCAACTCTCCCTGAAACCAATTGTCGTCTATTTTCTTAAGTAGATAAATCATGTCCTCTTTATGGAATGCCAAGTCGCTGTGAAAAAATAATGAAAAAACAGACTGTGTTGTAAATGTGCACAGTGCCCGTAATGATTAGGAC